GGCATGGATGAGTTCTTCAAGGGCGTGCAGGAGAAGAAGGAAGAGTTTGAGCGCGACTACAAACCCGAGCTTGAGCGAAGTAGGGCAGAACGGGAGCAAGAGAAGAAAGCGACACGTGAGCGAGAGTTGGACAAGATGATGAAGGACATGAAGGTGGGTGGCGCGGGCGCAAAACCAAAGAGCAAGCCGCGAAAAGAAGAGCCCGAGACGGTCAGCGACGCAGAAAACTCCGACGAAGCCGGCATGATGGACGAAGACCTAGACTACGAGGATGAAATGGACTCAGATGATCCAGAAAACGGCCTAAAAGAGCGATACAGGCAGGCAGTCAACGACCGCGGCGTCGACCAAAGCGAGGACCACAGCTTCGCACGATATGTAAACATGGCGAAGTTCACATGAGAGACGCAGCACCCATCATGCAAAGACACCCGACTCCAGCGATGAACAATGGTTGGGCCCTGACATTGCACGATAGACAGTCTCGCCTCCGGATTCCTGGTTCGTGTTCGGGAAGTAGCTGCAGGCGCTCACATGTGCGGCCGCGAAGACATATGCTGTTGAGAAAAGTTACGGGCGACGTGCATGGTTGACGGGCCGCAGCGAGACTGCCGTGTCAGTGTTTTGCATCAACACTAGTCACACACGCACGCGTACTGAACCCTTTTCTCACCCATGCTCTCGATGCTAAAAGTAGTATCCTGCCCACGCACGAGCGGCTTGTTTAGTCTTTACCTGCTTCCTACTACCACGGCTTCGCTGTACCCTCGCTCGCGCTGTTGCATGTGTCTTGGTTACAAAGCCGGGAACACGCGTCTTACTCTACTAGACTAGAAGAGAAGGGGTCTCGGAAGCGAATGTTGCACCGCGTGCATGCAGGGCAGAAGAATAAGGGTAGCGAGACGATAATCTGAGTTGTCGCTAGTTACACCTGTCAGTTGTCAGCTTCGTGCATGTGCAGTGTGTAAGACATTTTCAAAGTTTATTCTGCATTACCCTTTTTACTGGCGAAACGACTTCTCATGTGATTCTTGGTTCTCCATGGTGTCCAAGTCTTGGAGCTTTGACTGGGATATGTGTGCGCAGAATTAAGTTGTAGGGTCTTGGACACGGCGTATCTTACTACATCAGAATGCTAGGCGCATTTATACTGAACTCTATTGTTGAAGTAAAAATGCGAAAGGCTTCGTATAACTAAATACTGAACACACATGTGACATCTGAGAACCCATTCACCTCTAGCAATGATATATTCCTTTCCGCCAACGTACGTAGCGACATTGCCCTATTAATGATCGTAATCCAACTGCTCGAACCTTCAACATAGACAAACAACTCCCAAGATACAGACCCAACTTCGCACCTCACAACTACACTCCCTACAACCCGGTGGCTAAAGCCTCCACCAGCCATACATGTACAGCAGATCGCCGTGAGCACGCATGTCGTGTCTTCCCTTTCGCCTAAGCCCAACATACACTATTCCTGCACCTAAGCACAATCATGTATCAGCCATAGTGACACGGCGTAGAGACCCTGAGTCGCAGGCTTAGACGGTGTATGGCTTGCAGGTTGTAAGATCGAGTTTGGAAATGACAGGTCGGTGGGCGCTGTACTGTTGTCTTGGGCTGTGGTACGGGGCGAGATCTTGTTGGTTTGGGAAGGGAAGTGGAGAGGGGATTGGGATGGGTCGGGATGTTGTGGGAGGATGAGTGTCTGCTTACTTCGTGTAGGGTTTCTGTGTGGTTGGCGTGCATTTGATGGGTGTCTCAACTCGCGTTTATAGAGAAGTGTAACTCTTAAGGTTGGAACTGCCCTTGATCTCTAATTCATTTGGTGTTTCATGTCCGCTGCAGTTTTTTGTAGCTCTTCTAGATGACAACCGAGGTATACTTCTTTACTGGAAAACATATCGAACATATGAGTGGAGTTCTATACAGGGCCGTGGAAACAAGATAGGCTTCTCGTGTTGTGAGACTGCACGACGTGGGACCAAGCGGCCGTCCCTCGCGCCCACGTCCCCGGTGCGACATGAGCACATGGCGTTAATCTGGTGCGACGTAAGAAACCGAAAACCTTTAGGATCTCGCTGCTCCTCTAGCATACTTGTGCAAGCCCTGTAACTTGAGCAACGTGGGGATAGAAGGGACAGTAACACTTTGCATACTATTCAGAAGCGAGAGGGAAGAGACGTCAGTGACCTCTGGCGTATCACCCTCTCGGCATTAGAGGATGGAACCAAAAATATCATCCCCGCCAGCTCCACATCACCCTACTTACCCTGGAAACACCTTTCCTCACTTTCCCCGAGCCAGGGAGCAGGGAACGGGGAAGGCGGCAAACCCGCCAACACCCTTACCGTATACACAGCAAATGGCGACCTGCACACATCCATCGTACAAGATGCACAACATCAAAAGACCCGACCATGCATCTCATCTCCCCCCGCAAACTCGCCTACTGGAGCCAGGCCACGCTGTCTCAGTCATCTTGAGATCTGCAGGCAGATAAACGAACGTCTCACAACAGGGACATCCCGCAGTGGGGCCAGTCCCAGCCCTTCCAGCTCGCGTCCAATGTTGTACAGAGCGGGACGGGGTCTTAAAGACGTGCTGTTGTGCGAGTACCTGGGTAAGGGAGAGACATGGGGTACTGCTATAAAGGTATACTGAGGAGTGTTGGGTGTAGCGAGTCGGGTGGTACGACTCTGCAGTATGTTGTGTTTAGCGAATGCGTGGCTACCGTACAACCATACGCAACCACCGCATACAACTCTCTGCCCTCGCAACGAGCCATGAAAGCCGCAGTGGCATGAGGTGCAATGTCCAGTCTGACATGCATAAACACTTCGAACGGCAACTTTGCCCGTCAACGAAAATGAGATTAGGCAGAACAGGCAGCAAAGAGGCTGATACTCCGAGTAGCAAAGCAAGAAATCGATGACTACAATCCGCAAACCTAGTTGTTACCTCCTCTTGTATAGCCGTAGCGTTTCCACTAACCACCTCGCTCCAGGAGATGCGAGAGGTCACATCCGCGAGGTAAACCTTATCTTCTCCAGATAAAAAAAGTAAAAAGGTACATACTCCATAGTATCATCGTGGAACCAGTAAGTTGGCCCGCTGTAGCCGCGGCAGGGGCACAGACAGACTTTACCAGCAAGAGACAGCGGAAGCCTGATCGTGACACAGCGTCACGGTCCCAAAGTTTGCGTGTTCGCAGCGCCGCTGCTATTATATCCGAAAGATGCCGTGTCGGGTTTAGTAAACGCAGAAACGACCGACCCCAGCGTCCCAGCCACACATACGCGCGCCTCGAGATCGTCGTTGGAGAGGGGGAAACCCAATTTGTTTTCGCTTTTTTGTTGGCTTCGCAGGTTGCATGTGCATGCTGGTTGAGAAACAGATGCGCCCTGTCCTCGCAGCAGTTACGTGCTTACTTTGCTCTGCCGATCCGCAAACTTCCGTGATGTACGACCGAACAATACTGCAAACTGCGCGCGAAACATGGAACGACGCAAAAAGCAGAGGATTGCTGTTGTTTGATGCAGATATGATGTCACGCTCAGTTCATCCCGTGGGGACAGCATTTTCACGATGGGCACAGATTGCGATGCAAAAGCAGAGGAGCGTTGGAAAGTGAGCCGAGAGGCATGGGAATCCGCGATCCGGCGTCAAGTCGGATGTGGGGTCCCTCCCAAGGCGGAACTCGTAACCCAGGGCGCGCCATTTACAGTGCAACCGACGCTGGGTGCCTTGCGACACGTACATTGTGGCTGACGAGTCGAAAACGCGCCCTCGAAGCCAAGGAAATGAACTCCTAGGATCGCATGTTGGGGAATTTCGTCTCTCTCCCCGGAGAGCTGGCCCTGTTGTTTGGATAGAGTTTGCTCCAGCTACGATTTCCGAGCCAATGACAGGGCTTGGAGCCGTGTCCTTCCGAATCGGGGCTCCCGGACCTGAGGGTTCTTGTGCAGATCGTTAAGGTTCAGAGCTAGGCTCGAAAAAGATCTGCAGGGTCATCAGCGTTGTGAAAGGCCTTTTATTAGTGGGTCGCTAGCGTCAGGTTCTACCGATGATTTCGTCGCTGCGCAAAGGGTTGAGGACGAGACCGTTGGACGACGTGGGCTGACTCTAGGCGCGGCGGAATGTGAGCGCTGTGGCGTGTTGATGGGACGAGACTCTGGCATAGGCTTTGGAGGGGTAGAGATTCTAGCGCGGAGGCGCGCCCGCTATGTTAGTATGGCTGAACATGTTGGCGTGCCATGGTTGAGAAGCGGGCAATAGTGCGTTTGGCACGAACTATGAGCTGACAGCGGGGTACCAATCCGCAGTTCGCGGCCGTTTCTTGTCGTCACCATTGCAGGTGAAAACTGCAAGTGAATACTATCCGTAAGGTTGGTGATCGGCTGTGCCCCAAACAACCTTGGAACCCATGGTACAGACGGACTGTTGAGGTCAGTCACCCGAGCACAGGTCACAACGTAGATTGGTGGAAGAGGTGTTTGTAGTAATTATTTGTATTGTTTTCTATCGGAAGCCACGGCATTACTCCGTGGACATCCGTTATGTGTTTGAACTATGAGAAATCGAAGGTTGATGCCCCTTGAGTAAGGGCGGGTATCCATGTTGCCTATTCCGAGCCCTAATCCCTATCTTCGAATGACATCCTCCACGTACACTGCTCAACAAGAGGATGCTAGCGGAGAGACCGCTGAGAAGGACACAGGCTGTGCGCGGCCAAGTACCGAAGTAATTGGTAGTATATACAATAAAAGAAAAGAAATGCGTGCGTCGATGCGCACTGCTCCCAAACGCCAGGGTCCGTTCGTAGCCATGACGGCATGCGTCTATTGTTCCGTCGGACTTTTGAACTCCATGATATCGTGGTCGTAGCCCTAAGCGCCTCGCTCCAGAAATCGTGTGGTCTAAGGTAGAAGACCCGAAGAGATGATCAGAGATGTGATCAGATGAACGGTGAAAGAGAGATGAGATGAGTGACTATGACTCAAATTTGCGCTTCTCACCACTCGCTGCGATGGCGAGTGCGTCGAGACCACCGTATTGGGCGGGAGCGGGGTTGTAGCTGTAAGCAGTCGGGTCGGGGTACCGAGAGCTGTTGGGGAACTCAAGGAAAGAGTCGGTGGACTGGACGGCGGGGGCCATGGAGAATCCGGACGGGCTGAGGGGAAGCGACGGGTCTACCATGGAAAGCTGTGACAGAGAAGGCATCGTCGAAGACTGGAGCGGGGCTGGCTTGGGACGCTTTGCCTGATGTTTGGCCTTCTTGACGTCGCGCTCACCGCCCTTGGCGGCATTGCGGCCGCTTTGGTGGGTGCGGCGATGCTGCTCCATGTTGTCTTTGCGGGTGAAGGCCTTGTTGCACTCGGGGCAGAAGGCGTCCTTCTTGCCAGTGTGCTTCTTGGCGTGACGGGCGGCGTGGCCAGAGGTAGTGAAGAAGTCGTTGCAGCCAAACTGCTTGGCCATTGGGCACGGGTAGCTGTTCTTCTTGGGGCGGGCGTTCATCGCCGCCTGATCAGGGTGCTCAGACATGTGGTCGGGTCTGAAGTAGCCAGCCTGGGCAGGGTTGGTGTGGTAAGGAAGAGGGCCGGACGATTGATGCATGGGGACGCCGAACTTCTGGTCGACGAAGAAGCCATTTTGCGCGAAAACAGGCGAGTCCATGCCGGGCTCGTAGGAGAAGTCAGGCGTGATGGGCGACGGCGTCTGCATGGTAGAGTCGGAAGAGTCGCTGCGGACCAGGCGAGGAGGTGAGGCGAGGGGTGAAGATGAGTAACTGGAGGTCCGGGATTGGAGGGAAGGAGTGATGGAGGGAAGTCGGACAAGTTGAGGAGGAGGCGCCGGGCCGTCGTTTAGCAATGACACTCTGCGACCTGTCGAATTCTTGCCGGACAAGGCGTCCATTTTGAGCAAACACGTGCCAGTGGGGGAGCGACCAAATTCGCAGAGAGAGCGATGGGCTGCACGTGAAAGTGGTGGCCGGGTGGTTGAGGCGCTTTATACAGGGTGATGTTTGAGTGATGTGCGAGGCAGGCGACTGACGTCGACACGACAATGAGACAGGTGTGGATGGTGGGGAGCGGGCGTGGTGAGTGAATTGGGAGAGAGCTTACTGGAGCACCACACGACAGATGCGGGACTGGGAGCAAGTTATATTGGGCAAGGCACAAGCAGGGCAGAAGCACAGGGTTCGCTGGTCCCAGGATCAGGGCACTATCAGGGACTGAGAATTGCATGCGTGGGGATGGGAAAGTGCAGTCCGCCCTAAGACGCTAGCGCCAGGCAGTGGCAGGGGCCCCGGCTGCCGGCGATCAGCTCGCAGGCGACGCGCACTAGGAAAGAGCGACCGACCAGGAAGCGGCATCAGCGCATGACACCGTGGAACTCAGTGCGATGCACCGCGGAGCGTGCTGCTGGGTTGCTGGGACGAAGCTTCAGCGGTCCTGCAATCGACATGGGTCAACATGGGTGGTGCAGAAAAAGAAAGCCATGCAAGATTGCCCGTCGGTAGCAGGCTGCGCCGGCCAATGCTACGGCGGCGGACAGGTGCCGTCTGCTCAGGAGAGATCGAGATCTCGAGGGCAGTTTCAAGGAACTCTGCGACCTTCGGGCGCCAATGGCAAGAAACAGGCCCTGTGCCAGCTCACACCCGCACCCTCCGCCGGTCTGGTGCCGGTGCGTGTCGGCGTCAAAGAGTCAGTTGTTTTGTTTGGGGATGCGCATCGGAATGATGTATCGCATCGGTCGCATGGTGTCGACACTACAGATCGCGACACCACAGAACTACACAGCGCAACTACACGGTGTATCGCAGCGACAAGCGACAAGTCGTACCAAGACCGTCAGAGCCTGTCATACCAGCTTCTTCTCAGCGCCTCTCAGCGCCCCAGGGTCTGCATTCTCGAGCGCATTCGGTACTCGAAAAACAACGCGCCGGCATAACGTCGCTAGGTCTGATGTAATACAGAATCAGGGTCTTCTCCGCTTACGCATCCCTGCCAGCCGTTCCGACCTATCCGCTCGCAGCCTAGCGCCCCGCTGGACGTTAAGCAGTGATCGGGTCATCTGGTGGGGGATCGGTATTCTCGCAAAAAAGATGACGTCGGGCGCCCGCCATCAGCCACAGCCCCTGGCGCTCTTTTTAGCGGCAAAAGCCCCATAGACTCCTCTGGCCAGACTCTCAACCTTGCGCGCCGTCCTCGAAACGGCAGCCGCGCAGCACTGACCGAACCCCTCCATCGAGTTTTTGCACCACATCGACGTGATCTCCTTGCCCTAGCCTGCTTCGTTTCTTTTCACTTTGCGCGGCCACCACCCATCCGGTCCTTTTGTCCCCTCAAGGCTGCCCGAATCACGATCTCTGCCACCCTCGCGCGGCCTTTTCCCATCGCTGTTTTATGCAGGGCCCGCCCAAGTCCCCCTTCCTGCCGCCGACTGACCCGGCGTTAATCTTCTCTTACAAACGCTGATGTCACTCCTGCCCCGTGCCTTACGCCTCGCATTCGGCACCGGTCCCCACTGCCGCCCTGCCTTATCGGGAAACTCACGATGGCCAAATCCCATGCTGCCTCATGTGCGCAAAATTACCAGCCGGCTGCACGAGGGGTCCCCTGCTGTGATGGCTGCACCTTATGCCGATACGGTGTCCAATATCTCACCGACTTTGGGCCAACATCGCGATCTCCATCCTTTTGCTGATGGGAGCAAGGGCGCCACGCAGCCACGTGGACCAGCCCGGTGCTTCGTGATCGTCCCGCCCAACATCTGAGAGATGAGATGCGATCTTGGCCAATGCCAGCCTCGTCTTCAGCCATAGATCCTCCTGAAATGTTCCACGGTACTGCGCGCTTGGCCCCTGCCGCAGCTGCTTTTTTCTCGTTAATCTGGGAACTCAAGATGCTCACCGCGTTCAGCTAACGCAAATTGCTTCTTCGCCGCATGCTCTGCTCGCGCATCGCTCTTCGTGTACTCTTCCTCTGCGTGCCCCAGCTGCCATTGGTGCAAGACGATGCGCCCACTTGAAGACCCTGCAGATGAATTGATGGCGTCTTCACAAGCGCGAGAGCTCTCAACGTCCGGCGGCCTCAGCTCTCCACAAGATCAACACGTCTAGGATGTCAGATTGCGCCCGCATCCTCGGATTTTCTTTTGATCTGACCCAAACAGCCGTTTTGCGCCGTCTTGCACATCTCTACTGATAGTCACTGCGAACTGTTTGAATGCCAATACCATCGTGAACCCATTGTCGCAAAAGAAGCGCGCCCCACCTTACATCGTCTGTATACCGATTTTCCAGGGAGCTCAATCCTCTATTCTTGGCAACTATGTACCCCACTCAGTATCCGTTAGCAGGTCGCCCGCGCTGTGTCGAATGAGAGTGGCTGGACTATACTCCGGGCAGCGTTTCACGGTTGGCGCTACGCTGAACTGTAAGTGCTCAACGATATCGTGACCAAGAAGTCATAGATGGTAATCCATCACTCCCGTTTATCCAGCCTAGGGCATATCCATCGGCTATTGCACTCTTCCTAGCATATCTGCATGGGTATCGAGTAGAGTAGAACTGCGAGAGCCCAACGCGGCATTCACATCCGCTTGCTTGCCTTGCAGATGCCTGTCGCCGTAATTGGAAACATCCTGGCCACATGGGAAGAGGGAAACATGTTCCTACCCAGTCAAGTCAGGCCCAGCGCTCTCCAGCGACGTCCCTGGACAAGCTCCTGGCTACGAACTGGACCCTGGATAGTCCATCGTCAGCTCCAGATCATGTACGCGTATTGTCACCAGTAGTCCCGCATAAATCGCAAGGTTCCTACAACACCTACGACATGGACAACACAAACCCATATCGCCGATCAGTATCATTTTACCCACAAAACTAGCATACGTCACGTCAAAGCCGTTAAGCGACGCGGTTTGAGATCAGTTGTCCCGTGGCGCCACTAATTCCGAAGATATTCGGTGTCGAAAGAGCCGTGTTCTCGTAGGTTGATAGCCGATCTTAGCAAAGTCTAGTCGCTCTCACTTCCACGTTCGAACTACGGCAAGCGCGCAAACTCCAGACTCCTGCTTACATTAGTTTTTTACGCCTCTCATTCCACATATGCCGTCTTGAGCTCAACCTTTGATTGCAGGGTCTTTCAAGGGAGCTATTGACCCCTCCAGAAGCGAGGAGCAAGCTCCGGAATGAGGGTCTTTTACTCGAAACCCCGCTCCAAGCTGCGTTATTGGTCAGAACGCCCCGGACCAACCACCCGTGAGGCGTCGACCGTTGCCGAGTAACCGTAGCATACCTGAGAAACAGGTCGCGCTAGGTTGTCCCGCCTCCCCGCGCTTACACTACACCCAAGTCAATCCACGTGGGAAGGAGCTGTTCATTGTAACCCTTTTTCTTTTGCTCCCGACCTCTCAGCACTGAGCGACCCTAGGATCACACCCAGCACTCTGTGGTCCACCGTGTAATGATTATGCGCCAGGTCCCCAACTCAACACAAGGTTCGCATTCGTGCGGGGCGGCTCTCCGCAGCGGTATCAATGCTTCATGAAGATCTCCAATCCTTCGAGCGCGCGCCATCTCACCTCTCAACAACGCTGGGGCATGGTTCTGCGAGATTCAATTACGCCATCTATGGACCCTTTGAAAGTTGTCATGGTGCATGCCGGAAGAGGTCGGTATCCGGTTTGCAAGGGGTCGGGGTTGGTCAGCATTGCATCCCTTGAACAGTGGCAGATCTGGACCATCGTTGACCACAAGACATACGGACCATGGCATAGGTCTATTCTTTGTGTAGCTTACGCAATCCAAGGAAATGTAGCTGTCAATAATCGGTCAACTTCCACTGCAGTCAACGCAGCCTCGATGACCCACAACATGTCTCCTGGTAGCGACCAAGCCGTCCGCTGTCAAACCATCGTATGATGCGCATCATGAATAATGCGAGTCGTGACCGCGTATCGCTGAGCTGAAACGCGCATCGCCAACCCCATCAAGTTACACCTCCAAGATTCCGCCCCAAGCAACTGAAGCGAATATCCACACCTTCTGCAAAGCTCAACAGTCACGCAGCATTCCTTCGCGATGTCGAGACTCAGCCTGACCTCATTACACCGAGCAAGAGGCCGACTCACAAGCATCATGACCGGCATAAGCGAGCGCAACGAGTCGTCCTTCTGACGTCTTCTACCGGGCATCTCCTCCGTGTCACACATCACATCGCATCACATCCGCGGCGGTCCAACCAATGCCCTTGTCTTTGCTCGGTTAAGTTATTTTCTCCTTGGTATCTTTACACATGACACTCTTCCACATCATACATTCCCAATCACCAAACCGCGCATATCCACTTTAGAACTCGCGGACCCCCAACGCGAAAGCGAAAAACTTACGCGTTGCGTCGGGACATCCGTTTTTTCGCTTAATTACCGAACATCGAACGGAGAGTCTTTGCGATCCCGGGAAGGTCGGTCCCCACTTGCATTGTTTGACGTTATCATCGCCGGGGGTAGTCAATTGCTACTATTTCTATTCGTGGTCTCTGCGACTCAAGATGCCGAGTCAGAATGCATGTCTCCCAACGCCCCCGAATTTCATGTGTGAAATGCCCGTCACTGTGGCGTACCCAAAATCCACCTGCCGGATGGATTGCTTTCCCTGTCATTTGTGATTTCCGCGGGATGTTGTACCGAGCGAGGGATTGGTGGCGGGTAAAAGT